GCTACACTCATTTACTTATATGTATGTTTTACCTCTTTTGGTAGTATAGTCATTTTGATAATATTTACTTATATCTCTTTGAATTGACAACTCTGGAGCAGGCATGTGTCTACTGCTGGGTGTCCATCAGTAAATGAAGAACAGAAAAGCCAGTTCTCTCCTGGCTTAGGGAGTAACCACTGTGAACCAAGTGCCTGCTATCTATGACTTCATTTAGTTTTCCTCATAACCTTGGGAAGAAAGTAGCATCATCTTCATATTACAGATGAGTAAACAGAGGCTCTGAGAGGGTAAAATCTATTCAAGGCTCTATAAGTATATAAAAAGCTGTAATTCAAATGCATCCTGATCCACTCCAGACCTTGGTCCACTAACATTTATTATTTACTACTCACTACGTATAATAATATCCTTGAAAAATTTTTTAAGACCTACTCTTGAGAGTTTCTCATTAAACTGGTTGGCAATACAGCCCACATATCAGTGTTTTGTGCCTAATTCTTGCAATTAGAGTCACTTTTCTAGTAAAAATCAGGGAAACATAGGCAAAAAGATGGAACTCACTTGCCCAAAGGCATACAGCAATTCCACAACAGTACAGGGTGTGTGTCTCCACCTCAATACCTCTCCAAAGAGCTCATCATGTCTCCACACACACACAAAAAAAGTTGGGAGTACACTGGCCACCTCTTTCCCATGGCTTACTCCAGAAGCTTCCCAGAGAGTGAGAAAGACAGGATTTCAGGAGGCACCTTGGTGATAAATGGGCCATGCTATATCATGGAGTAAGATAGAGCCTAGGAAAAAATGGAGGCTGCATGTGGGGATAAACTTTGCACAGCACATGAAGCCCTGAGCCTCCTTCTTCCCAGATATGTCTTGCCTAATTGCACAGAGGCTAAAATGCTTGCTCAACTATTTAGGATTTCTCCTATTTTATATCTCCCTCTCACATGGTTTTGGAAGTCTCATGCTTTGGCATTTGTTGTAAATTTCTTCTGCAGTTTCCAAACTAGCCCAGGGTCAACCATGTAGAATTTGAGACTTTAGAGGCTACAGTGTTCATTTTACAGATTTTCACTTAGTTCAACTTTTCAGTTCTCCTTAGAAATAACTTAATTTTTCATTTGTTATCATACATTAACTCTTCACATATTGATAATGGTTATGATAAAGAAAGTTTCTTCCGATTCCAATACCTGGTGCATCAGTGGATCTACTTGAAATGATTGTACTCTCTTTTGACTCCAAGTCACAAGGCTCCAATTTGTCTTCAATGCTTTATATGACTTCATACAAAATACACAGGAAATGGAGCCTAATTTCACATGGGTTCTCTCAGAGAAAGGGTAGGCCCCTCCTCTATCTCCATTAATGAGGCTGATCAGGTAATTTATTAGAGAAAACACCCAGCTTGGGCTCTGCCTCAGTTCAATGTTCAATCTGCCTGTGATCTCCTCGACCTCTGATCTTCAGCTCTGCCTCTACTTTTTTATTTTCCATTTCATTTCAGATGGATTTTAATATTTTACTTAGAGCTTGAAACTCAATAATGCCAGTTTGGAAGTGATGATGTACAGAACCAACACTACCCAAAAACCATGTGCTCTGTGTAAGAACAAACTAGGGAGGAGAGACCTGTCACACCTGTGGGGAGATGACCCCCAGAACCACTGGGAAACCGTAGGAGGTTCCAGGAATCCCCCTGGCCAAAGTGAAAGCATTGTAAATTATGGAATGAGTTTGGACTAATTAGAATCAGAAATGAGAGTAACTGGAATTTTCTAAAATATGGGGACATAATTCCAATCAAGATCTTCCTCTAGATTTATCCAGGGAACCTAGAAAAAAAGTTTAGACCTCAGATCTTCCTAGATTGCTCTCCCTTTATTCCAACAGGAAATAAAATAAAATTTACAGACAGGGGACATGTTCTGCTGGGGAAGCCACAATTCTGTGTTCTCCAGTGGGATCTTGTCACTGTTCTACAGACATTAAAATTACACTCCTGCAGAGACAGAACTTACAGATGTCTGTTCCTTAAAACTCAATGAGTTCAAACCGTTTTAAGCTCTTCTCAGCTGCAAAGAGTCCTCCTTGCCTCAGCCATCTCGGTGAGTGCCTCTGTGTCTTCAGGTGCACAATCAGAGTACAGCTGGGTCCAAAAAAGTCTGTGGAAGGAGGGAATTTGAGCCTAGTACTGATATTTCTGGTAGCTGCAGAGGAGACATCAGCTATAACAGCTGTATTGAGCCCAGAGGACTGTGCTCTTTATGGTGCAGTGAGAAAATTTTCTTCTAACAATGTTTGATTCTTTAAATTAGATTCTCATGAAGTTCATAACTTTCTTCATAAGAAATATCAAGTGATTTTAGGTTTTTTATTTATTTTAATTTAATGAGTTCTAGTAGCATGACTTTCATGCAGTATGTCATCTAGAATTTAAATAATATTTATTTGTATAGATAGTATCAGGGAAAACATAAATTTTAAATATTTACATAATTTTAATCATATATATTCGATATGCAGCATTTACTGATATGATTGTTTGTGGTTCAAAACTGGAGATAATAGGATGATTAGAAATGTATTTTCAGGGTTTTCTCCAGGCACTATGTGGAGAAAGATTTGTTTAATAATATATAATTGTTGGGGCTTGGGTAGGAGCTCAGTGGTAGAGCACATGCTTAGCACATGCCGGTTGCTGGGTTCGATCCTCAGCACCAAATAAAAATACAATAAAGGTATTGTGTCCAACTAAATGAAAAACCAAAAATATTTTTAAAAATTGTACATTAAATACATGCATCAGGAAACAGTGTAAGATTTTTCTGTTCCTAATACAGAAATTCACTTTTAAAAACAATTGTAAAATGATCTTAAGGCAATAAACACACAAACCCATAAATTTCTGAATATAATTGCAAACACATGGCACAGGACACTCCTGATTTTTATTACTCCTGTTTACAGATCTGCAGATATTTGATCACACTAAGCTTAATGTCATTCGAAGGTCTTGAGACACAGGTGATTAAAATATTTCATTCAATGAATGTTATGTCATTTGGTTTTTATAAAGATCAAATGTCTAAAATGAATTAAAGTAAATCCTGTATGTTACAGGCATAATGTAATAGAATGCATTCTTTTTGGTTTTGTTTCATAATTCAATTTTTTGAAAGAAGACAATTTAAAAACATTTTTTCTATTTTTTTTTTTTTT